GATACATTCCTTAAGTAAAAGTCATTTCGAAAATGTTATGAAAAAAATGAAAACGACACGTTATACCCACGAGTATTTCCGGTACCAATTGTACTGCCTCATATTCATACAATTCATGTTTCTTTGGTAATCCTCGGAATAAAAAACTTATAATCCTCAAACATAATACAAACGGCTGACAAATTAAAAAAAAGAACAAAACGTAACGCAAACCATGAATTCAGAGCTATATATGAGAGAGAGATACATTCCTTAATTTAAAATGAATCCAAAATTTCATCAAAGCAAACTTCGATAAAACAAAATTTTAAAGTGTGTAGGCTATTTGGTAACATGACATTTGATTAATAAATAATATTATATGACAGAGAAATTCTTTCCACTATACCCCAGAAATCCGCCAATGTTTTTGATAAGCCATCTTCGATGTATTTGTTGTAGCAATGGGTGTGGATCTTCACACAGTAAGATTTTTTCTTTAACTTAAGCAAGGTGTGAACATCTACGATCCTCCTTTTTGTAGAAAAACACTGTTTAATAAAAAGATGTAGTCGATCTTTTAATTTAGGATGGGTAATACTAGTGCAGAGCGTAGAAATTTGTCCATACTATAGCAACATTTAAGTGATTGTGATTGGAAATTTTTGGAATAGATCAATGTAATGTGATCCGCATCTGATTATCCCGCTGATTGAATATACCACAATCAGAATATTTTGAAGCAAGAACGATAGTAAATCTTTTAGAAGGATGCTTAGTCGAGCCGTCCGTACATAGTGTTCTTCATGAGGATTTTTGTGAAGTTAAGGTATCCTTGTTTTGGGACGAAAGAAAATTTTTAATAGGTTTTCTTGCTACTTCAATTTCTTTTTTATTTGTTTCTTAATCTATCATGCATTACACACATATTTTGTTTTTCATATGACATGATTATATTCAAAATCGTCTTTTTATCATTATTTGTCTCATTAAGTTTAAAATGTTAGCTAGTCTTGTAAGTTTAATTAAAAAAATGTGAGCGGTTGGAACTGATGTACATATCGTCTTGTTATATGAAAACACAGTTTGTAAGCAACTTTATTACACTGTGAATCTGTATATTTATGTTATGAGATTCAACAGCAGAATAAAATTGAGAATGGAAATGGGGAATGTGTCAAAGAGACAACTACCCGACCATAGAGCAGACAACAGCCGAAGGCCACCAATGGGTCTTCAATGCAGCGAGAAACTCCCGCACCTGGAGGCGTCCTTCAGCTGGCCCCTAAACAAATATGTATACTAGTTCAGTGAAAATGGACGTCATACTAAACTCCAAATTATACACAAAAAACTAAAATTAAAAATGATACAAGACTAACAAAGGCCAGAGGCTCCTGACTTGGGACAGGCGCAAAAATGCGGCGGGGTTAAACATGTTTTTTGAGATCTCAACCCTCCCCCTATACCTCTAGCCAATGTAGAAAAAAACAAACGTACAACAGTACGCACAGTAAAACTTAGTTTAAGAGAAGTCCGAGTCCGATGTCAGAATAGGAAACAAAAGAAAATAAACAAAATGACAATAATACATAAATAACAACAGACTACTAGCAGTTACTGACATGCCAGCTCCAGACCTCAATTAAACTGATTGAAAGATTATGTCTTCATCATATGATATCACAATCCTTCCTGTTAGGGGTTTAGTATTATACCATCATAAAATATACGAGAAGAACATAACCCGTGTCATGCCAACAACTGGTTTTAGAATAAATATGTTCAATTCCGAAGCATTATTTTTAGTTCGTTGGTATCATGCAGATCGAGTCCTTCCAAATGCAAGTAACTGATTGCATTTTGCCGACGATTTTAGTACTAGGTCATGTTGGAATTTCAACATGACTTCAAAACATCAATAAGATCGATTTCGAAAGAAAAAAAAACATATTTCTACTGTATATAGCTCGTATATTCCTTTTCCCAATTTAATTTCATTGACAACAATCGGTGTGTTTGCGAAATATTCAAAAATCAAATGATCCATATTTGCAAATGGTGGTATTTTGCAACTGTAAAAGCTTCCAGAGAAAATTGTTTTTGTAACAGAATACAATGATAGCAGTTTAAAATGATAAAACAAATTTCTTTACTTATAAAAGCTAGACATAATATTATTTTTTTGTATTTAGATGTTGATCCGGTGTATGTTTGGAACAATGAAGCGCAATGATCTATAAGTTTTGCGCGGTTAACATCTTAATTTGCATTTGAATAAAAATTAATGTTTTCTTCTCTATAAGATTTATATTTTTTTTTAGTAAAAGAATATCATGCAAGAAGCATTTGAAAGGGTATTTTGTTTAATTCTAGCAAACTTAAGACCTGCTCATACCTTACCTTTGATCTTGAACGACAATTGCACCGTTTGAATGATGTACAACCGGGCAAAACAGGAAGTTCAGATAATAACCTATCGAATGATATAAACTATAGCTGTGTCTTAGGTGGGTGCATAGTAGCTAGCAAATAGTAGTTTTGAAAATGTCGTGAGTAAGTTTATTCTCCATTGATTTTTTCTTTTAATTAAAGCTAGCATTTTCATTCCATACATTTTATGCTATGAAGATCAGGTCAATGTGGATTCATACAACAATCTATATTCATTAAACTTCCATTCTTTTGAGAATTTTCATACCACCAATAGTCAAAATATTTTACGTAATACTTGCGAGAAACACAATAAAATAAGGTGTAATAACATAAACGATACAAATTTTACTGCACCAGCTGCGCATTTCGACAATAAAAGTCTCTTCGGTGATCCTCGAGGCCAAAATAATAGAAAATCCAAACCTTCTTCAAAAATGAAGAGGTAATAAAAGCCACCAAAAAACGACAAAAAGTAGAGCTAAAGCCGGGCAATGAGATATATTCCTTAATTTGAAATAATTTCCTAAATTTTATAACAGTAAATTGAGAATATTCAGCGAACGCATACAGACGCATTTGCTGATTCTTTAGTTATAGCTCACAGTTTAACTGGTGTGTTTTCAAATAAATGCCTATAGTATTACAGAATTATAATAGATTCATTGCAAACAAAACTGTGAAACACAAAACTTGTTCAACTCACTAGCGAAATGTTTTCGCTGTCTAACATATTTAGAACCCAGAAATGTCGTTGATCTGTAAATATACACATTGTGACATTTTGACTGATTGTGGATTCCCATGGCAGTTAATGTACGATTACTGTGTCAACAAACCCGATCTCGAGCCTTTTAGTGTTTACACGATTTCCACAGAATTATTTATTTTGACCATCATTTGTATCTTCATATATACCTTTTGTTTTTTATATGGTGTCGACCGTGCTCTTAATAGAGAAATCAGTTTATGACTTATCTCACATACTAAAATGCATTTGTTTTATTTTAATTTTTATCAAATGTATGTTTTGGTTTAGAAGGATTTTTTACAAGTAAAATGAAATAATCCAATTTGAACTATTTCAGAAATCGCCAATAACAATCGTGTTGTTTATGTATGAAAATTGTCATTTCTGCTGAAGACTGAATAAGAAGAAAAAACACATTTTATGTATAATATATAATATATGATATAATGTTTAATACTGTATGGAACGAAAAATGTCCTTCTTCTTACATAAAATTGGGTAAAAAGGGTATTGATTAAGGCTTATTATATCATGTATATATAAATTGAATATATCAATAATTACTTTTTCCATCAGTGGTTTTGTTAATATGTCGTACCTCGGCACCGTAGCACAATTATAATATTTGAATGGAATAAATTCAACCAAACTGAATTTTGACACATCAAAATCGACGAGGTTTTGACATACAATGTAGACATATGGTAAGATCAAACTACTTTTGAGAGCAATCAATCTTTTATAACAGTCAAGTAGCAACAGCTTCATAATATGAACGTGAAATAAAAACAAGACAGAAATCGGATGTTATCCTTTTGTTTCCTTTTTAAATCGTCCCACATCAGACTAATTATTTTTCGCTATAAAAGTAACTCGAGATATTTAATTTCAATATTAATAATAATAAACGAGCCTTCGATGAGTTTATCATTATTATTTAATTTAGATAACGAGAGTTGATATCAAGCGTTATCCAATTCTTGAAAATTTCTCTTATGGTCAACACTCTTATTGTGTTAAATAAAAAAAATCCGCGAAACATATGTTTTGTATACTATTGAAGAAATCACATATGCCCGTTGTCATGGACGAAATATACATCGCCTTAACCTTTGAAAGTTATAAGTAACCTAACGAATAGCCAATGGAAATTTCGTAATATCATCTCATGATACTGGATAAACCAAATCAAATTAACGAAGTTTTCGAAACACTTTTTCGTGTCATACTCCACGTAGTGTGATACGAGAAATATCTATTCATGCAAAAAATAGAAAAAACCACAACCATAAGATAATGTATATTAATATATAAGGTTTCTTGGCTTATGTTTGCTATTTCATGTCCTCAATTGCATATGCTTTCAACAGAAAAAGAATCAGATTATGGATTTTGTTTTGTTATGATCAAATCCATGAACTTCCACATTCGTCTTGAACACAACACCAAGGCCAGAGCTCAGATTTATAAATCTATGTTATAGCTTTCGCTGATTTTGCCTCAAAATCTTTAGTTTTAAATTCGTTACTAGTATTTGAAGGAAGAAATACATTGAACATTTTGAATCGTAAGAAATACGGATAATGTTATATTATCTTATCTTAAACAGACATGTCAACAATGTACAACTTTACACACCATTCACTTTACGCTTATATTGAAGCTATCTTATTGACAAACTAGACGTTATTACCTAAGAAGAACAATATCTTATTGACAAACTATACGTTATTACCTAAGAAGAACAATATCTTATTGACAAACTATACGTTATTACCTAAGAAGAACAATATCTTATTGACAAACTAGACGTTATTACCTGAGAAGAACAGTAATGATGGGTAAGTTATTTGACAACATCCTGTTACAATATCAGACTGGTCGTTTCTGGTTTACATATTCTATTTCTGTTATTTTCAGATTGTAATACAAATTATGGCCTTTGTATGAGGTCGATACAATGATATATTGACCTGAAAGAAGTATATTGACTGAGGACGAAGTCTCGATATATCCTTTATTGACCTCATACAAAGGCTATAATTGTTATATAATAAATTTCTTACCATAATTGTATCAAAATCGTCAGTGCATTATATTCTCTTTTTTCGATCATTTAATTTTGTTTGAATTTTATAGATATCAGATTGTCTCTTTGACAATAACAACACATTAGTTGTTATTTCAATTATTTTTATGTTTTTTTGTGTACATCTTATGTATTTGAAGATTTTTTTCCCAAATAATCGATCATAACTATACACTTTTTAACAATATCATGAAATTCATTTGATGACGTCATTAGTATATCGGTTTTTTAGATATTCTAAAAATAACCGTGCAATATCACTTACTATCCGCCGTTTTCGACCGACCTTTGAAAATATAGTTTAACATGTGACTATTCCTAAACGAATGAAATAAGTCAAAATATATAATAATATTACAAATTATGGTTTAGTTCAAAAAATATTAAGCTGTTTCATTGGCAATCATACTTCATCTCCTTATGTTATATTATACTTTGTGTAAGAACTTTGTTTTTATATCTAACATTCCTTTTTTTTTATATTTAACATTCTTTGTTGCGGTTATTAAATACAGTTAGGGAAATACAAGAAAAGCGTCTCGATTATTGTTTAAGGTCCTTAAGTCGTCAATTATCGTCTTATTTAAAAAAAAAATACTGACTGTTAAACACGTCCATGTATAAATATAGCTTCAGTGAAGATAAAACTGAAAGGAATTTGTTTACATCTAAATTTTTCAAGCCTTTATGTTGTAAACAAAATATTATTTTGGTATTACTGAAGTATTGTGGTAAATTAAAAGAAAAATCATAATTTTCTACATTATTTTTCCTTCTTTGATATTTCAATGAAAGTTTCTTTTTTCGTAAGCTCAAAGTGACTTAGAAATTGAATGTAACTCAGTAACTGTAGTTTAATTTTATAAAATTTTGTACCCGAATTGTCATATTTATATATGCAAACGTATTGATATGCATCATGTATTGTTGCAGAAAATCATCTATCCCGATGTCTTTGTTTATTTGGAATGATAATACTGCAGTCAATGCTTTCCGATGAGTTTTCAGGAATCAATAATAAATAAGTGTGTTTATAAACTTATCTTATCATTAACTTATCTCAATCAGTATTACCATTGCAGTATGTTGTTCAAGAGAGATGGAATATACCATACAAATATTCACAAGCCATTCTTTTTTTTTTATATCAAACTGCGACATAATATACATGCAGAAGTTCTCTTAAAATATATCTCGACCATTTCTAATATGACATTCATCAAACGCTTTGAGTTCACCTCCGTGGTAAAATACAACTATATTTATACGTCAGCTGATCGGCAACGTCATGATTTGTTTGAGCTCTTCCAGTTTTACTCCCACGTCGTAATGCTTTCTATGAATGAGTAACGTAAACCGAAGTCAGACGGTGTAAATGACGTCACTGAACGAAAACAATTCCGTGAATCGTTGATCTAGTCTTTTGCACCTACCAGTATTATGTCATATGTCATGTTCCGGTGTAACGTTAACATCAGACAAAACAAATATTGTTGTGTATATTATTGTAGAAATCACATATTCCGTTACCATGGACGAAATGTACATCGTCTTAACCTTTGAAAACATCAATGATCTAACGAATAGCCAATGGAAATGTCGTTATATCGTCTCATGATACTGAATAAGCCAATCAAATTAACTCAGTTTTCGTATCACTGTTTCACACTCCGTGAAGTGTGATACGAGAAATGTCTCTTCACGTCAATATTAAAAGTGTGTTCAACAGACAATATTTCCTTCACATATAGCGCTTCGATCCAAAAGAATTGGCGTCTTTATCCTATTAGATAGGAAATATTTCAGTGGGCTTTAATCTATATTGACTTTACCATGGATTGACCTATCGCTGTCACTCGAAGTAAACTGTTTCGAATAAAAAGCAATTCCGTGGCAAAATCAATATTAATTCAAGGCCCATGAATTCTTTCTCAAATACACGATTAGACAAAGATGTATTGCAAAAAACAATGAAACTTAGTCTTAAAAAAACACAAGAACACCCGTTTTCAAATACAATTAAAATAAGTTTCTTTTAACAAAACACCATTACTTTCACTTGAACATGATTTTTTCACGTACATTTATAATGCAATTCTTGAATTTGTAGATGCAGGACAACAGTGTTTATCGTGTAGTAATATAGAAACTGTACAGGATTGCCAACATTACATCTTGTGTGACGATACTGAGGTATAAACGTAACTGAATGGTTTACAAAATATTCAGTTTAAAGCTTGTTTTCTGTTTTATAGTTATGTTAAACGCGTCAAAATCATAATTAAAAGAATGTTAAAATAGTGATGTCAGCAAAATATACTTACCAAAATATGTAGATTAAAAATCTACTAACCACAACTGACGAAGAAAAATCAATTTTATCAATGACTGGTCAACTGTAAGAACATTTAAAATGTAAATGAATTGAGCCTACGTGAAAAATAAAATTAGATTTGATATGTTTTTGTATATCTTTTTTAATAAGTTAGTTTTATACACAACTAGAATTCTGTAAAATCTTAATGTGAATAGCTGATGATTACCCATAGATCTTAACTTGTTTGCAGGTGTGTTACAAACAAAAATTTGCCACTGAATCTGGAGGGACAAGTTATGATTTTGGATGTTCACAGCCAAAGGTTATTTCATTGTAAAATCAAGTAAATATTGGGATAACCGTCACTGAGAAAGACAACCAACTCCAAACAAAAAATTTACAAAAAAACAAAAAAACAAAAAAACAAAAAAACAAAAAAAAAACAAATAACATGTGATATTTAGAGATAGATTAATAGTATTCAACTATAGACATTTTTGTAAAGCACACGAACAGAGATCTGCGATCAACAAAACAAAACGTTTTTTAAGGATAAAACAAAATAATTTCGTTCGTTACCTTTATTAGGAATATGTAAAAAATTTGCTATTAAGTTCAGGGTAATACTATTGCTCCATTTAAGTTATTGATTATTGATCATCCAGTAGCATATATTTCATAAATAGGTCATGAATAAATAGGCAATGCATCTAATAAGTACGTTCATGCTAAATCGATGGGAGATAAATACCGGCGAGAACTTTTGATTTTCACAGCTGAATACTGAGGATGTATTAGTGGCACTTACATACATCTAAATAGTTGTTGAAATGGTTCCTGGACGTGCATAGGAGAGCAAAAAATCTCCTAATACGAGGCATAAGAATTTCGACTAGACTTGACTGCGTATTTATAAATTCCTCACCATAACATTTGCCTCATTAACGCATCCGTGTATCTTAATGTCGAATGAGGGAAGTCATCTTTTTATATATCTCAAGTAAATTGCATTTGTTTTGAAGAACATTGAGACAATACAAAGAGAACTTTACTCTATAAATTCACTTTGGACCTACATTCTGATAAAATGTTCTAATACATATTGTCGATAGCATTGGATATATAATAATCAGCTTTCTCAACGACTAAAAATTGAATTGTTTATAAATGAAATAAAAACATATAAGACGTATCATATGTTACAACGGTTTCTAACTTTCAAGACCTTTAAATTTAAACCGACAATTTTTCAGACATGTAATCATCTGATTGGATCTATTTTTGGAAAAAGGTCAGAAGGTCATCACATTACATGCTCTGGCTGCTGTAATAATACTAGATTGTGCAATCAGGATATTTCTTGTTCAAATGTAAAACCAAATAGTAAGTATGCTGTTTCATATTTAAATAATTCGACTGTAATGTTTTGTAAAGTCTTTAGAGACCTTGCTTCTGATTTAAAAAGCAAACAAGTTGCGTGCACTAATATCGTACAGATTGTGTAGTTTTTAATAGCTTTCGAACTTAAACCCTGTTGCATGACTTCTTAGTTTTCATTTAGCAAACAGGCAAATTGTCAAATATCTTAGCACGGTTATTATGGTGATATGCTACAACACCCTCCCCTCCTCCCGAAACAAACAAATAAAAATTAATGAAATTGGGAGTTTGAAAATGATCTAAATAAAAAGTTCAAAAAGTGAAATAGTTTTATTTATTTTCGAAACCATTAATTGTCCATATGGAAATGACAATGAAAACAAATTATGCATTTACATTAATATGCTTTTTATATCCGATTGAAATTTTTAATGAAACTAATGATGAGATAAATCTGTATATTCTAATTTGTAAGCAATAACAAAATGATGTTGTATCGACAGCAGAGTGTTTGTCTTCTAAAACTTCCTATGCCGTTATCCATATACCCGTAGTGTAATGCTTTCAACTGAGGCTTTACGTATACTCATGTTTTCAAATTAACCTGTAGTAACCAAAATTAATACATAACATTCACACAGAATGCATGATTAACCTGTAATTTTAGAATTGACTTAAATCTCTGCTCGTACGCATGTCAAATAGCATGGTGCTCTAACATGGTGTTGAGATATTCACGTGCTAAGGGTTTTGGCTCTGTATTTTGTTTTCGAGTTATCCGCAATATCTCGTAATTATGCACTGAATATAATAAATGCTATGTTAATATGTCCATTTAATCGGTAAGATATTTCATACTTTTTATTTAATGCATGTTTAACTCGATATTTACAATTGTTATGGTAGAATCCGAAAATTTGTAAGGAATTTGCGCACTGCACACCAGACTCAAGCTATGATATTGATGGAACATCAATGGATATGTAGAATAGCACCAGTACTGGAAATTTTGTTCTTTACGTGTGCTTCAACAATTGCATGAAGGTTTTAATCAATCGATGTTAGTTTTAGTTAACAATTTCCAGTGATGCTGAATAGAAAGTTAAGCTCCTCTTGCAACTATTTATAGTTTGAATATATAAATAAAGTTTGTCATTTTTCAACAAATCCTTGATGAGTGATTTTAGTTTTAAATTACACTATGTAATTTTATTTTGGAATCAATATCTCCGTTACAGACACCAGAGTTCCAAAGGAGTGTTCAGACATAAACATTAAAAACCAAACAGATGGTATATATACTATTTATCCTGACGGTCAACGGGCGACTCCTGTATATTGTGATATGACTACTAAAAATTTAAGTTGGACAGTGAGTATCATTCGTTTGTTGCATGTCTCTATTTGTCATGCTCTATATTGTCTCACTTCTCAAATCAATCTTTAGTTTGTGATTAAATTTAAGAAAATGAAGAAAAACTATCGTAAAGATCGAGCATTTAAGTATACACCATATTTCCACAGTAGATATTCTTACTATGGGTAAAACATTACTCACTATTATAAAACCATGTACTGCAGCAAATCCGGGTCCCCGTAATTTTTAAATCAGAAACAAGCTGTTTAAAATCTACTTTGATTTATAAGTCGAAAGAACGAAAAATATCAATTGCAATAAATTATCTGGACTTTAATATATTAATGTTACATAAATATCATCGAGTACTTAATAACATACTAACAAATTTTTCCGTTTAACAAAAAGAAAAAAACTAAAATCTAATTGAATAAAAAAGATGAATAATATACAAAATTTCCTACTTTTGTGTATAGTTGTTTCATTGGCAATCATACAACATCTCCTTATATTTACAAGTACAATCGAACTGAGTCGAATAAAACAGACAATACATTGTATGTAGGCAAAAAGAGTAATAAGGAAAACACAACCAGCCAAATAAACACTACACTGAAAAATACAGATTTAAAACCACATACAAACCGGATTGCAACTCTGATTCTCACAAAGGGCCGACGGTAACTGTTCTACGTGTGACATCCGCCGTTTTGAAAATAGCATTTATTGATATTTTGTGGTAAACATTACATTGCAACAATAATTATGAACCTACATTTCAATGTCCCTTAAAAATAGGTTATACAGAAAAGAATTAACGGCTTTGTTGATTTCTACCGTGGATGGACAGCTTACAAAGAAGGTTTTGGTAATGTTAGCGGTGAATATTGGTTAGGTAGGTATTACTAATACCACAGGGCAACATTTATGCTAGTGTGATATCAAGCACACATGCTAAGAATCTCACCCATCTACATTAAATTTATTGGTATTATAATAACATAAAGGGTACCAATTTTACTGCACCAGATGCGAATTTCGACAATTAATGTCTCTTCAGTGATGCTCGAGGCCTATATATTTGAAAATCTAGAACATAGTACAAACGTTCGAGAGCTGATCAAAACAAAACAATTACCTAAAATATAGCCCAATCCGGCCAAGGAATCAGTGCTTTCAAAAAATATCACTTGCTCATGCAATAAAATAAGAATTTTCAAAATAAAGGTCAAGAATATTCTTTTGTAGGAAACGATAATATCCATGAGATAACTTCCCATGGCAACCATGATCTTCGAATCGAATTACAAGATTTTGATGGAAACAAAACCTATGCAGAATATTCCATTTTTAATGTTGCTGATGAAGGGAACGGCTATCGTTTGCTTGTGTATAATTACTCTGGAAATGCTGGTATGTTGTAAATTATGTGGAATCGTCGTTTTTATTTTTGGTCAAACTGTTGTCTGTTTTTATTTGGCTTATGTTTTCTCTCTCTCATTCAAAACAACTATTGTACGTGAACCCAGCCATGTATTTCAACAATTCTATATGTACATTTGTATCTATAACAACATGGCTATACAGAACACTGAGGGAAAAAACGACTGTTCTTTTTCAGAAGGGATATAGTAACGATACTGTTGTCAGGTCATTGAAGATGGCATATTTTGGAATTAATATTGATTCACTCATAGGAACTTTGCATTGGAAATAAACACATAAAACCAGTTGTTTACATGATACGGGTTATGTTATTCTTATATATTTTATGAGGGTATAATACTAAATCCCTTATGGGAGGGTATGTACTTGATTTTCATATGATGAAGATATAATCTTTCAATCAGTTTAATTGAGGTCTGGAGCTGGCATGTCAGTAACTGCTAGTAGTCATTTCATATTTAATTAAAAAAGGAAAGTATGCTAGATACACTTACCGGCAATGTGAAGATATGATTAAAGCTTTAAATTTTCTCCTGGACAACATATATGTACGTTTCGGCAATAAAGTGTAACTGTTAGTAGGTATTTTTATGGGCACTAATTGCGCCCCTTTAATAGCAGATTTATTCCTATATTGCTATTAATCACAGTTTATGACCAAAATCAATAAAGACACGTCATTGTTACATTTAGTTGACACATTCAACAATACCTACCGTTATCTTGATGATATTTTTTTTCATTAGATAATCCAGAATTCTCTAAATATACTACCGAAATTTACTCAAAGGAACTAACTATACATAAATCTAACATAAACAGCAGTAGTTGTCCTTTTCTAGATTTAACATTTCAATTTCTAAAGGGAAACTCCATACAAAAATTTACAACAAAAGAGACGATTTTTTATTCCCTATTGTTAATTTTCCTTTTTTAGACGGCGATGTTCCTTTGGCTCCATCATACGGTGTTTATATGTCCCAACTCGTTCGTAATGCCCGTGTGTGTAGTGATGTCATAGATTTTAACGAACGTAATCAATGTATCACTGGTAAATTATTAAGTCAGGGATTTCGTTACCATATATTACTTAAAACATTTACAAAATTCTTTCATAGATACAAAGATTTGATTGGTAAATTTGGCTGTACCTGTAGAAAACTTATTAAAAATGGTATTTCACATCCTAAATTTTACGGTAATATTGTACTAAACGCGCGGAAATCACTCTGATCCGTGTAAATTTATCGAACCTTTTAAACAAACTTATAAATAAAGGTTATCTTATAAATGTTGAAATAAGATCTTTGAATATTGTTTTCTTTGGCCCTAACATCGATTTTGTCATCAACAAATTAAAACATAACTAAATTTGTAATCTTATCAAATGATTTGTTTGGGATGTATATATACACATTTACGTTTATTTTCTATTTAGAAATTGTTTTATCTATACATAGCATCATACATATTCATTGTAAGGTTAAATTCTAACTATCCTACTGCCTGTCGTTACTTTTATTTTGGCATTGCACAAGTCATGTCTTCTTTGACTGTCCATGGCGTAAATACACTAAATCCCTGCTTGGGATGTGTTTTAATTGATTTTACTTTCTGATGCATGATTTTTATTCACTATTTATTGTTTTTGGCTTTAAACTAGCTTTCAGTAACTGCGAGTACTCTCAAATCGTACTGTTAATTTGACCTGTTGACACAATTTGTAATGCATTTCTATTATTCAATGTTTACTTATTTTGTGTTATATCTCGTCTTACTATTTTTTATGTACCACCTTTGATAAGTATTTATTATAACGAAAAAATTTTCACTTCTGTACTCGTACTATGAATAACACATTTATTTTGTAAAAAATGTTTCTGTACTCCTAACAACAAAATTATTGTAGTTAAATTTACCTGTGTACGTTACTTTATTTAACGCCATTTTGTCCTAGGTTAAAGTTGTTTTTTTGACATTGAAACATCTTTTTTATTTATATTATGTCATAGATCAAACTTATTCGTTCAGTGTATATTTACTTGTTTTTATGTATTGTCTTTTTGATTGCGTTTAGCCATTTCAATTGATATTTTATTGTGTGTCTTTTTATGTTATAATGTTATACCACTGTTCTAGGTAAGGATGAAGGTTGACGCCTGTTACAACGCTTAAACCCGCTGCATTTTCATACACCTGTCCTAAGTTAGCCTGTTGTTGAGTGGTTGTCGTTTGTTGGTGTGGTTCATAAGTGTTTCTCGTTTCTCGTTTTTTATATAGATTAGAGCCCCCAAGGGTGACTGGGGAATAGAAGTATGGTCACCATTGGTCTTCCTCCGACCGGCAGTAAAACCCTTGCTAAAGTGGAGCGTCCGTTTGGCTGTGCGGGATGTACAAATTTGCAGCCACGGCCGGTCAGAATTGGGACGTTAAATCCGATGCCTTGTGTATAGAGAGTACCACGCTCTTTGCACGTTAAGAACCCTTGCAACAACTCTTTGAGGGGTCCGTAGGTGACCTTTTGCAAGGCTAAATTTCTGTCCCTATCCAATATACCCTCATTTCCCGTGGCAGTCTAAATTTCTCCTACCTTAATCCCGGACGCCCCTATTACAGAACCTACCTATTGTATTTATTGTTAATGTGTTCTCGTCCTGAATATGCATGAAATATTTGCCACTGGACGTTAAGCAATCAACAATCAATCAATCAATATATAGATTAGACCGTTGGTTTTCCTGTTTGAATTATTTTACACTTGTCTTTTTGGGGCCCTTTATAGCCTGGTAAAACGTTTAAACCTGCTGCATTTTTATACACCTGTCCTAAGTCAGGAGCCTGTTGTTCAGTGGTTGTCGTTTGCTGGTGTGGTTCATAAGTGTTTCTCGTTTTTTATATAGATTAGACCGTTGGTTTTCCTGTTTGAATTGTTTTACACTAGTCTTTTTGAAGCCATTTATAGTCTGCTGTTCGGTGTGAGCCAAGGCTTCGTGTTGAAGGCCGTACTTTGACCTATAATTGTTTACTTTTAAACCGTGTGACTTGAATAGATAGTTGTCTCATTGGCACTCATACCACATCTTCTTATTTATCTTTGTATCATACTCGGACTTCTTTTTAACTGATTTTCACTGTGCGTATTGATGTGTGTTTGTTCATTCTACATTGGCTAGAGGTATGAGGGGAGGGTTGAGATCTCGAAAAACATGTTTAACCCCGACGCATTTTTGAGCCTGTATCAAGTCAGGAGCCTCTGGCCTTAGTTAGTCTTGTATGTTTTTTTTTTTAATCTTAGTTCATTTATATGTTTCGGGGTTTAGTGTGACGTCCATTTTCACTGAACTAGTACACACTTTTATTTACGGGGCCAACTGAAGCCCGCCTCCAGGTGCGGGATTTTATCGCTGTGTTGAAGACCTATTGGTGGCCTTGGACTGTTTTCTGCTCTTTGGTCGGGTTGTTGTCTCTTTGACACATTCCCGATTTCCATTCTCAATTTTATCATGTATTTGGACGGCAATCCTAAGATTGTGTAACATAAACCCATGGACACCGGTGGTCCAAAAGGGTTTATGTATTGTTCAGGAAACAGCTGCGAATGTTAATCAATGTGTGACTTAGAGATTGAGAACATCAATAAAAGCGCTGTTACTTTGCTTTATGTGCTTATTGCTGTTCATGTACTTTGTGTCATGGATATCCAATATCCTTTCTTTTCTATTTTGTTTCCATTTTCACTTTTTGTTTAAGGGGCCAACTGAAGCCCGCCTCCAGGTGCGGGATTTCCTCGCTGTGTTGAAGACCTATTGGTGGCCTTGGACTGTTTACTGCTCTTTGGTCGGGTTGTTGTCTCTTTGACACATTCCCCATTTCCATTCTCAATTGTGTCATGTATTTGGACGGCAAACCTAAGATTGAGGCACATAAACCCATGGACACCGGTGGTCCAAAAGGGTTTATAAATAAAGGCAACAGTAGTATACCGCTATTCGAAATTCATAAATCGATTAAGAAACAAACAAATCCGGATTACAAACTAAAACTGAGGGAAAAACATCAAATATAAGAAGAGAACAACGACACAACAGAAACACAACACTAAAATGCAACATACACAGAAACGAACTATTATATAACAATGGCCATTTTCCTGACTTGGTACAGGACATTATTTTAAGAAAAAATGGTAGGTTGAACCTGGTTTTGTGGCTAGCCAAACCTCCCGCATTTATGGCAATGTTAAATAATTATAAAATTAAAGTGACAAGATTACATGACAGGACTACAATACAAATAAATGGGAAAACATACAGGACAGAGACACACACAAATAATAGCTATCAAAAGGTACCAGGCTTATAATTTAATACGCCAGACGCGCGTTTCGTGTACATAAGACCCATCAGTGACGCTCAGATAAAAAAAAGTTCGAAAGCCAAAACAAGTAAAAGGTTGAAGAGCATTGAGGACCAAAAGTTCCAAAACGTTGTGCCAAATACGGCTAAGGTTATATGCCTGGGATAAGAAAATCCTTAGTATTTAGAATAATTCATATTTTTGCAAACAGTAAATATAAAAATGACTATATAATAGATGTACATATTAACATCGAAGTGGTGACTAACTACAGAATAAAAACGAATACGTGAAACAACCTAAATCAGCGCATAAAAAAGGCACAGCCGAACAACGTATTATATGTTAGTTGAAGAGATCGACGCACAATGTGACGTCACATAAATTTCTATAAATTTCAAAACAATAGGATAGAGTTCAAGATTTGGTTTGTAATACTGATATAACATGTATTAATTACAATGAAAATTACAATACTTATTAATATACAATTGTGGTAGTAATTAGATAATTAATTTTATTATCAAGCTATGTCGGTATTTCTTCTAAATCAAACTGTAAACCAAATACATCGTATAAATTTAGTTGACCCAAACTAAAATCTTATAAATGAACTGGGAGATTAATTATCTTTACCGTAACACACGAATAGAACAGAAAAAACTTAGATTTACAACTACAAACGTATTGTTTTGTTCAGGAAATAGCTGCGAATGTTCAGGAAATAGCTGCGAATGTTAATCAATGTGTGAATTAGAGATTGAGAACAGTAATAAAGGCGCTGTTATTTTGCTTTATGTGCTTTTTGCTATTCATGTACTTTGTGTCATGGATGAATATCCAATATCCTTTCTTTTCTATTTTGTTTCTTTATAATGACTATTCATTCTCAAAGTTTTTACATATACAAAGTATTTTGTTAATGATATTGCTTCAAAGCAACTAATCAAGGATATATTTAACACATGATTCTAAAGAAAACTATTAATTTTGAGATTGCTTTACTATACATATAACATATAAAAATACTAACTTATAATGTACGTGTTAACAAACTTATAGAAAATTAATTTACTTGTATTTATTTTAAATTCGTACATTTGCTCCGTCTTGACACCATTAAAAAAACACATGCATATATATAGCAACATAATGAACATACAGTTAACAGCATCACAATAAATAAATATGCTTCTTTACAAAATATATATTTTGGAGATGTCATCTCTTTAACTCATCAAAATCAGTTCTGGATTTACGCTTATTTGAAATGAGTTTCATTATTTTTACTCAGGTGACTCCTTAACTCATCATAATGGTATGAAGTTTTCTACATTTGATAAAGACAATGACCAATCCGGATCAAACTGTGCAGTTAGTTTCAAAGGAGCATGGTGGTACAGAGATTGTCATTTTTCAAATTTAAATGGTAAATATCTGGCAGGATATCACCTATCAAGTGCTGACGGTATTAATTGGTTTCACTGGAGAGGTCATCACTATTCACTCAAGTCAACCAAGATGATGATTCGAAAATATTGATAATAAAGAATTAGTTCCTAAGTTTATTCATACTAAGCTTATATTGCAAACTCCATTTTTCACGATCATGACAAGTTTCAACAACCCTTACGATGTTATAGAATTCAAAGTAACTCAATGTCATATACATAAAGTTATTTTATATTGAAGCTTATGCTAAGCATGCTGAATAGAGGAGCAATCAAGTTTTTGTCTTACAATTTAAGTCCAATTGAGAAGAAAAATTAAAATTGTATGAGAAACTTTTTACTACAGAAGGAAGCATAGGAATGCGACAGAAAGCATTTAAAACATTTAAATTAATCGTTGGGTGAAGAAGAAGTACTTGTGAGAGTGGTATTTCATTTGAAGGACTCACTAAAGCAGTGAAAATATTAAAACCAGGAGGAGATCATATAGTTAGCAATTTTTTTCCAAATTTACTGGTATCTAATTGGGAAGAATTTTGTCTCAGTGAATAAAGAAATTTTAGATCAAAATTTACTATGTGATTCACAGTACAGGGGAATCATAAATTATTGTTTAAATCAGGGGAAAGAGAAGATATGAAAAAAAAAGACCAATCACTCCTCTGAATACAGATTACACAATTGTATCTAAAGTATTGGCAGAAAGGCTTAAATTTGTATTATCGCATATTATCAATACAGATCAAAAAGTGTTTGTTAAGGGGAGTAATTCATTTCAAGGAATAGATTAATTGAAGACATTATGGATTTTACGGAATTGGAGGATGCGGAAGGGGCAATTACTTTTCTTGGTCAACAAAAAGCATTTGACAGGGCGGAATGGGAGTAGATTGACCTGTGTTTTGAAAAATACATTAAGAGGGTGGGTTCAAATGTTATTCAAGAATGCCAAAACTTGTATTTAAACAAACGGTTTGACTCCCAAGTTTGTGCGTATAACTCGCTCAATCCGTCAAGGGTACCCAATCGCTCCAATACTGTACATTGTGCAAGCGGAGCTTTTTGCGGCATCTATAAGAGGTAACAAAAACATGGAATCAGACTTCCATGCAGAACTGTTTCTTCTTTGGAAGCTAAGTTAAACAGGTTTACAAATGATACACAATCAATACCTTAATAAAGATGAGGATTCTATTGAAGAAACTTTTAAATTTTTTTAATTTATTTTGTTTATCTTTTCAAGCCAAATTTGGTCTAAATTGACCCCAAATCCACGTTGAACACCAAGTGCCTTAGTCGGTTGTTAATTCCATCTAATGTTATTGAACCGGGGTTTTTTTGTGACGCCATTTGCCAAGAAACATACCAACGGGCTTTTTCATGTTCGTTTCTCCTCCTGAAGCTTTCTTGTGTCTATCATTTTGACGAAAATTGTTTGTAAACATTAAATATATATCTGCGATTAATTTAATGATAGTATTTAGTATGCTGATAGATACTAATAAATGGTAAATAAAAAAATGCATTTATTTTCGAAAAAATGTAATTTTTCTATTATATGCATGTATTAAATTGTGATCGATACACAGATATCTGACATTTGCTTTATAACAGACAGTTATAATATAGAGGTGATTAAATAGTAAAACGAAGTTGGACTGTATGAAATCCTCAGCTTTCCTAAATCATCGATGTCCACTTTTACGCAAAAATGAGTTGCTTTTATCCATAAAACGGATAACATAACGTGAATGTAAACTGGTCTAATTTTTTTTTACCTTACAGACTGATATTCAGTTGAAATTAAACAAAAGCAATGGAAATCTTTTTAGAGAAGGTTAAAATGGCCAAGTTGGTAAATTTGAATTGTTAACACCTGTTTCTATATGTGTTAAATTACAGTTTGGTGCTTCGAGATATTTGTAAACTTTTACATTTAAGACATTTTTCACAAAACAGTCGATTATGGTAGGTAGAAATTAATCTTTTTTGTTCATAAGCATAAATTACACCGAAAAAAAATCCACAGAAAGATAAAAGATTTATCTTCTTAAAGCATATTTTTGCATCTTTGCCCCCGGCAACAGCTTTTGGGAAAACAACCTAATAATGGGCATTAATTCAAAAGAGAAAATCGAGTAATCCTTTTTATATTTAGTCGTGTATGAGTTGACTATTTTGTCTTAAAAACTATTTAATAGATCGTATCGCTTCGGATTCTATTATTCTTATATGTTAGGGCTACAGGTTGATAACATTTCATTAAAAATTCACAGTACCAAAAAAAAATATATATGGGTCAAGTGAAATACCTTTCTTATGAGTCTAAATAACACAGTAGGTGTGTTTGAATAACAATTGTTTGCTAAAAGCACTTGGCGACAGGCGTTACTTGTCGATCTTTTTTGTCCAAAACTTCGAAAAAATAAAATTTTTTGTGTTGTGTTTTTTACCTAGGGTAATTAGTCTCAACCTCTGAAAATTTTAAGTGTGCCCTTCAACACAATATTTAATTAGAACTTTTCTAGTGATTTTTGGAAAATTCGAAAATTCCCCCTGACAACCAATCAGCCAATAGTTTTAAGTTAACCAAAGGCAAACAAGTACATTAAACAATGTTTCATAGCTATTAGATACATTTATCTTTTATAATACTACTGTCATATATAAGGATCGTAATGATGGTATGTGGATTTCAATATCAAAATTGACAGCGCGTCATCCTTACAAGGCTATCGTTTTTAAGATAGAAAAAAGGTGGTGTAATGGGGAGATATTTTTGACGAATTGAATCCTGATTGCTTAATAAGGGTAGAAGTTAATCTATAAGTTCCACAGAAGCAAATTTATTACGCAAGCATGACTTTTAGTATTTCACGAAGGTGAATTATTATTAAAGTTTTTGCACATTTTCATTATGGGATTTGCCTTTCTTTAACGAGAAAAAAAATTGAAAAGGTATCCTCGTCTCATGGGTTTTCGTGCTATTTAGAATGTATTGTGACGTCGCAATTTCCATTGTAAACGCATGCATAGAACGAATTCATATAACATACGAAAACATATGATCTGACCATACTCTAAGGTCGGAAGTCTGCACAGTGCAAAATCAGTCATATCATGTTGCACCATGTCCATTCTATGAAATAAAATAAATAAAAAAAAATAGGAATAGTATATTATTTATAAGTTTTTCATCAAAACTACATTGTAGTTATCGTTTCAACGCTCTTTTTGTCTTAAGACTGAAGTACCAAACAAAATGCAACAATAAAAGTAACTCATTTAACACTGAAATATCTTACTTGACTTTTGTATTTTCACATGTATTGAACCATTGTGTTTTTTTTTTTTTTTTTTTTATTTTCCAGTGTCACAGAATTTTGAAAACAACAATTGCAGAAACGACGTTTGAAAAAGAAAACCCTTATTTTTTATTATCTAGTATATTCCTCTTCTAATAGATTATCAGACAATCTGGTCTCTCCTTCTCGCTTTGTCCTAAGGTAAAATCAGCTGCCCTTGAATTATGTTTACAGACACTTTTTCTCCATAAAAATACTAAAACACACAATTGAGAACAATTAATCCACGATCAACGCAAACTTGTGAACGAAAATATACGAGCACGAGTGTATGTGAAACATTCTAATAAACGAAATTAAATTTATAAATTCATAAGTTTTCTTTATAAACGCAGTAAAAATGGTATTGGTCCACTTGTAGAACTATGTGCATATCCGTCCTTTCGACGAAATGTGCTTCTTACTGTTTCCGGATTTATTTTCAACTTAATAAACTATTTCTGGTTGCGGTTTTGGTAGCGGTAGCGGTTTTGGTATCGTCTTATAAAGAAGATGTCTATTGATATTAAACGTGCTCTTGAGAAATGTCATGTTGTGAAAACAATCCGTGTGTCAGTTTGAAAGTTTAAAAAGAAATATAAATTTACATTCAGATCAATCTATATTTGATAACTTTATGACAACATATTTCAAGCACAGTAAAATCAGAAGAATGCTTGTAGTTGGATTGAGTAGACCAGATTTGGTGAAATGCAAAAAATACAAAGATAACAAGAATTGTTGCATACCCGTTGATAGTTTGTAGAGGCAGTGGTTGTGAGCATGTTTTTAAACATGATCTTATAATTCAGGTTATTTATTTTAATCAACATAAGCCCTATCGCCAAATATTATCAATTTGTCGTTGCTTAAAAATTGTGGAATGCGGATATTTCATTTATACTGTAATTGTGATTCATTAGTACTGTAAATATCTGGTTACTATTTATGTTGTGTGTTAATCATGGATTGTAAGACTTTAGTGATTTGATGTGCTAAAGAAACGTTTTCCATGATATATTCAGAAAGAAAGAAGTTAAGCACCTAAAGTGTTTTTAAAATGACAAATGTTACGATTAGTGTCATGAGATTACGGACCAAATGATCGCAGAAATACAAGTGCAGAATGTAAGGACATTACATTAGCTTTCAGAAAACACAGCATACACCAGCGGATATGATAATTTAATAAATAGATTATCACAAAATCACAAGCAAGGTTATTACACTAAAGCATGTCCATTTTAAGTATTGACCTTCTAAGTTCAAAATGCCCGATAACATTGCCATTTCACTTGGTACACATCAATTGTGAGTCACTTAATGACATCTTTGGTTCAAAGTTTAATATCAAGAGAAACCATCACGTGCTTGAATGACAGCCTCAAACCTGCGTCTCGTCCCTTCAGTCAGTCGTCGGATTTCCTGATGTAGTAGCTGTTGCCATTTACGGTTCAGTGCTGCTTCAAAATGACGTAATTTTGTAGATGAGGTACGACTGCCTGTAGACGAAGGTCTAACATGTCCCAAACATGCTCTATCGATTTCAAAACCGAGCTCGTGGCTGGTCGTGGAAGAGAAATCACGGCTTCAGCTAGCTTGAATGTTGGCGGTTACGACCCTTGATGATGTTGCCTGGCGTTGCCATGCATAAACACAGGTCTTGCACAGGTGGATGCTTCTTAAAAGGGGACAACAACTTGCTGAACAACTTTTCTGATGTATTGGTCACATGTTAGTTTTCCTC